AAAAAGTATATTTAATATTTTAGCTTTATATTTTTGTGGTACTTGCTTAGAAATGAATGTGCTGGAAAAGTAGTGAACAACAAAGTAATTTGAGATAATCACTCATTCATCTAAGGAGTAGATGCTTCTGAATCTTTCATTACCAAATATGTTTCAGTTTATTTACATTTGACAGTAATGCAAAAATAATTCAGGAAAAGACTAGATATTACTGTCCAGACTACAATGTTGCACTCTATATTGAATGTTTAAAAATAAACCATACACAGAAAAACTATTGAATAAATTTGAGTCATCATTTTTATATTTCCTGTTATATTATCTTATAAAAATTAACAAAAATGCAATTTTTGGTCATCCTGTGTTTAAATAATTGGAATGGTAAGTAGTAAAAAGTTTAAGTTTGTCTGAAGTGGTCCCCTGCAGAAAAAGTACTGTCATAACAGAAAAAAACGTGTTCACTTCCATATGCTACATTTGTATAGGTAAATATTAGTATAAAATAAATTTTCAGAGATTGCATGAGGTTTATAGCATTTTGTTATTTTCCACATCACCCATGATAAGCCCTAGTACAATTATATCAATAATAATTCCAGTTATTATTTAAAATGTTGTATGAATTGAAGTCAGCAAATGTTCTATCACAAGGACTTTAACCATAGTTCTTTTAAGACTATTTTCATCCACAAATGGATATCCTGATAGATATTCAGACATTTTCCTTAAAGGTCTTGTATAAGCAATAAGTCAGAGTGCTTCATCATTAGTAAAATATGATTATTTAGGGCACCAAAAAGATAAATTCCTTAGGAAGAACCACATGGGACTGTGCATTAACCCACCTTTTAAACACTAACTACATGCCTGCTGTGGGCCACATACCAAGCTAGATATGGAAGACAATCATAAAACACAAGAATCACAGTTTGGTCAAGAAAGTGATATATAGAACCTTAGAGAAATAAATATCAAATTAAAACTATAGTGTTATAAAAAGAAGACAGTGGTGCTCAGGAGCCCATGATAGAGAATTAAACTAGTTTGGAGCAACCCTAGCCAAAGGTAACCCCATGAACAAAACTGCCAGGTATGAAAACTTTCATTAGATCAGAAATGGCCAGCAATCTACACACAATGTAGTTAGATATGCAGCAGGTACAGTGGCCTGAACTCTTGTTGCCTTCAACTTCACAGTCATGGTTGTTGGGGTGGTCCCTCTAAACACCAGAAAGGTCCCAGCAGCCCTTGCCCTTCATGGCAGACTTATGTTCCTCTCTGTGTGATTTTGCCCAACTCTTTTGCCTCTGTCTTCCCAGGGAATCCCCTTCTCTCTGCCTCTTTATTTTCAGAACAAAGCTCCCAATAGTTCCCAGCCATAGACCACTCCTAGTTCTGTGGTTAGCACTATTGTCTGTTTTCTACAACCCGTAGTGTACTCTGTGCTGATTTGGCTTTCTCCTGCTTTCCTTCCACTTGCAGTTGTTCATCTTTCTTTTTGAGTTTCCATCCCCTCCATCATTTAAAACAAAGCTTAGATACATCCTGCTGTATACAAGGTATAGTCCCTGTATAGTCAGTCACATCTGTTGCAAGGCCATCTGTGTCCCATGATTTCATCCCATGTATCTGAAAGCTTATTTTAGTATTTCTTTAAGGAGAAATATTGATAAATAGTATAGATGAATGATCCTTTCTCCATCTCTTTTCACTAGACTTCCAGGACACAAGCAGTCACAGAATTCAGCATGTAGTGGGTTTGGGAAAGCAAAGCAGAAGATAGAAGGACAGAACTGCGTTGAGATTTTGCTTTCAGACTGTTGGTGATAGTAAACTAATTCAGTAATACCTCAGTTAATGAAAGTTTCTGTTTGCAAACAATTCAGTCACCAAACAGAAGCATTCATCAAAATTTTGCTGCAGTATGTGAACTGGGTATTGAACAGAATAGCAGCCATCTGCCCCTCATGAACACTAATCAGCCTCTTCTCCAGAACTGTGGAATGAATTAAGTTTGTGAACCAAGGTACTACTGTCTAACATAAACTTAGCTCTAAGTCTGTATAATTCTGTAGCATTTAGCACTGACACAGGGGTGGGTCCATCACTTCTCTCTAGTTCCTTAAATATCATAATAGATTCTACACGTCAGCTCACAATGCATTTCAGATCTCTCCTTTGCTAAGAGTGACCATGTGTTTGGTTTATCCGGGACAGGCCAAGTCTGTCTCTGATGTCTCAGCATCAGAGCTTGTTGTGCACGGCTTGGAGAGAATATCCCATTAGGATATGAGAAATAAGGTCAACACATATCTGGCCCATCACATGTAGACCCTACTGGCAGCACCAACCCCTTGATAAGACATGAAGTACACTTTCCAGCCACACTGTAATACACTAGATCAGACGGTCCGGACAAATCTCCTGACAAGATCCAACATTTCCAAATTAAGGAATCTGACTGTTCAGACAGCTGTGTTGGGGAATGAAAAGACCATGATGTATCAGGCAAATCTCTTTTAATGTGCAGGGTGACACCAAATCTGCTGCAGTCTCCTCAGCACCTTCTGCATGTCCTTGTTCCTCAGACTGTAGATGAGAGGATTCACAGTGGGAGGTGCCATAGTGTAGAAGATGGAAACTAGCAAATCAAACAATGATGGAGACTTGGACAGGGGGTGCAAATAGGCAAAAGACCCAGAAGACAGAAACAGAGTCCCCACTACCAGGTGAGGCAGGCATGTGGAGAATGCTTTGGAGCGGCCTTCTCTGGAGGTTATCTTCAGAACGGTGGAGAAGGTGTGGAAGTAAGAAACATTGATGAAGACAAAGAAACCGATGTCCAACAGGAGGCTGAGCCCAATGACTACCAACTCCTTGATGTTATAGAAACAGGCAAGGGAAAACAGCTGTGGGATGTCACAGAAGAACTGGTGGACCACATGAGGTCCACACATGGGAACAGAGAAGGTGGCAACTGTGTGAAAAACTGTGTTGAGACCTCCGCTGACCCACGAGTATGCTGCCATCTGCTCACAAGCTTGGTGGCTCATGATGGTCCCATATCGGAGTGGGTGACAGATGGCAACATAGTGGTCATAGGACATGACTGTGAGGAGAGTCACCTCTCTAGAGGCTAAAAGGACAAGGAAGAAAACCTGGGCCACACACCCGAGAAAGGAGATGAGGTTGAGGTTCATCAGAGAGTTCTCGATGGACTTGGGGACAGTGATGGAAATGAG